AAAAAAAATATTTTTTTTGTTAAAAAATGAAAAATATTTTTTTTAAAAAATTATTAATTAAATAACTACATGTACATTAATATAATATAATTCTTCAAAATGATATAACAATTTTACATATCAATTTAAATTAATAATCTTTATAAAAATATAAAAATAAATTTTTATTAAAATTTTATTAATTAAATAAATATATATATATACACTGATGATAACATAATTTTTTTATAGTAATAATTAAAAGATATATAGTCAAATTTAATTGACAGTCTCTCATAAATAAATTGAAGTGCTGACCAATCACATAAAATTGGTTGGTACTTTTTATAACGTAACAATATGTATGTATGTATGTATGTATATACTTATACATGTATGTATTTAGTGAAGAAAAATAAAGTATGAGGAATAGGGTGCTGCTAAAGGGGATTATGATGCGATACTAACCAACATCATTGGTTTGATTAGTACTAATTATAAGGATTATATAATTGACCCAAAATTGGAACTTACCACCTTTATATGACTGCATGGACATACTTGTAATGGCATTTAGAAACCTAAAGATCATAATATATATATATATATACATGGAGATACATACACACAGATCATTTATTTGCAGAGCTGGATCCCACTTGAGCACTGTTTGGATGGCAAATGCCGGCAATTCGACAAAATAATAATTTAAAGTACAGCTTTCTTATATTCTTTTGTTACAATTTTTATTATTTTATGTTGAGAAAAAATAAATTTTTAATTGCACACCATCACAATAAAATATAAAAATAATAATAAAATATTTAATTTTTTTAAATTATATTATGATAATTTTAAAATACATCATGACACTTATATAAAGAAAGTATAAAAATTGTTTGTTTAACATATTTTTCAAAATATATTACGCAAAATATTTCAAATAATACATACAAAATATTCCTATAATAAAATCACATCAATATTTTAATTATATGCAAAATTTTATATTTAGTCAATTTTAATTATTTTTATTTTTTAAACTAAATTTCATAAAATTTAAGCAACTTATTTCAAATATAACCTTAATTTTCTCGTGCATTTTTTCTTTTATTCATATATATGTGTATATATGTATTGGGGATGATGATATGTCATTCACATTCTTTATAACCCAGACATTGTAGACTTAATTAGATTGGGCAAAGTCCCAAAAGAATCCATTGGCAATCAATAATGTTATAAGAAGAAGTCTCGAGTGAGAGATTAACTAATTAATTAAATCATTATAGAATTTTATTTTAGTTTAAAAAACTTAATTTAATAAAATATAAAAAAAATTAAATATTTAAAAATATTTTTAATTAAATTATAACGGAAACAATAATACGAGAGTAATATATGTTAAAATTTTATGAATTAATTTAATAATTTATTAAAATTTTTGTATTTTAATAAGCTGATTAATTGATATTATTTTTATTAGTAATCAAACTGTTGATTATGGCATGCGTATTAACTTGTATTAGCAATGCTAATTAGTGATAAAATATATACTAATTAGTAGAACTAACCCTTGTTAGGAAATTATTGAAGAATTTCAAAATAAAAAATTATAATAGCACGTGACAACAATAATAATTCATAGTACTAAAAAAATTATTTTAGGATTAATTAGGAATTCATAGTACTAATTTGGAGAAGTTACTCAATCGGAAAGAAAACAAAATAAATAATAAACATTGAAATTAAATAATTGATTATATAATCTGAATTATTTATTTTTAACACTTACATAATATTTTTTTATAAAAAAAAAAAATTAAATGGTTTACTTAGAATTATGCTAAATATTTAAAAACTTAATTATAATTTAACAAAAATTTATAATAACACGAGATATATCCATAAAAATAAATTTGTAATTTTTTTTTTAATTTTGTTGCTTTGAATATAATTAAAGTGTTAATGTAAATAAAATATCGATTATCTTTACGTGCTCCAATGAACAATCTCACTAATTCAACATACTTTACATAAGAAGTGATTACGAGTTCAATTTAATTAAAATTACTAATTACTTAAAATACACTAAATCAACTTGGTAGAACTATCAAATCATTCCGTACCCTTTTTATAGTTACTAAAATAAAGCATACCCTTAAAATATAAAATTTTTTTTAATTAAAAAATTCCACAAATATAGAAAAGGATGGAAGATCATAATTAATTAATTAAATTAATTAGTTTTTAGCACAAAAAAAGGGTATCATTATTAAGTCACATGTTTTCTTTTCTTTTTATTTAAAAATGATTATGATTTAATTTTACGGATTAACATTAAACATTTAATTAATTTTAAAAACATTTTTTTTTATATCATCATGATATAAAAAATTTTAATAATAAAATATTGTCAACAAATATCGGATCTAAATAATTACAAAAAAGAAAAAAATATAATTTTTTTTTTCCTTATTAAACATAGATTTATAAATCCGGGACTTTTTAAGTTATAGCGTGTAAATTAAAAGGGAGGCGGTGAAAAGGCCGTCATGATTTTCTTTTTTTATTTTATTTTTTTCCTTTTTAATTTCATAAATTCACGTCCATTCCAATCTCCATCTCTTTTACAAAACCGTGGGACCCAAGATTACGAAAAGGCCGTCGTGATCACTCCACGTGTCAGGTCATACACGTGGCAGAAGAAGGGAATTTGGATATTATGCGTGAATAGGTATAGTAGTACTCCCAGCCCATAGCGTAGCCAAGTGGCCGACCTTGTGCCTACGTAGAGACGCAAAGAAGATCCAAAAGTAGCGTAAGCGCCAAACCCACCCATCCCTGTCTGTTAATCGGACGGGGAATAATCATCTTCAGCCACCACGTTAGATCTCAGCCGTTGATCCCCTCAGAATTTTCAGATTTGTTTATTATCATTGTCTCTTGGCATAGTCGTTGTTTTGTTGTTGATTTCTAAGTTGCAAGTTGTTTAGACCTCTCCCTCTGCTTTTCTTCTCTCCAAAATCTCTCTCCGTTGTCATCAAGAAGAAAATCCAACAGTTTTAAAGAAATCCATTATTGCAGATTCAGCTCTGTTAATGGTAATGCCGTTATTGATAATCTATACTCTTTTCAGTTTCTTTCTTTCTTTCTTCTTTTTTCTTTTTTCTGAATCTGAAGAAAGAATAGCCGCCATTGATATTCTATCTTCTTCTTTAATGGGTTCTTGTATAAACACAGGAGACAATGCTGGTGCCGCCATGGCTGGAGCCATTGTTGACCACATCTTTCTTCACCGTCTGCCGCACGCACGGCAACGCAGCCAGGAGCGAATGCAACATGTATTGCCTGGACTGCAATGGCGACGCATTTTGTTTCTACTGTCGATCTTCTAAACACAAAGATCATCAAGTAATCCAGGTAAAGCTCTCATCTTTATCAATATATATCGATCATATATACGAGATTGATGTATAATCTGATGGGTAAATTATGAAGATACGGAGATCTTCGTATCATGATGTAGTGAGAGTTGCAGAGATTCAGAAAGTTTTGGACATAACCGGAGTTCAGACCTATGTGATAAACAGTGCGAGAGTATTGTTTCTGAACGAGCGGCCGCAGCCGAAGACCGGAAAAGGAGTGGCGCACATTTGTGAGATTTGTGGGAGGAGCTTGTTAGACCCTTTTCGTTTCTGTTCGCTCGGTTGTAAGGTTAGTGTTTCTTTCACCCTTTCGTCTTCTTCATTCATATTCATCTGCACTAGCTGCTTGATGTTATTCATCATCATCATCATCATCATCATTATCCACAATTAACATATCATAATCACACATCTTATGGTCCCAAAATTCCCTAATTTCATCACATATATGTATATACATGTCATGAGTTTCATGACCCACATTCACAATCCCATCACAATCATAACAACAACCTACCATTATATGATCATCATTGTTCCAATTTACATAAATTTTATCAACATATGCCTACTATACGCTAACTGTGTATTTTTCAACGTTGTAATCCCTTTGCATATTCACAAACATCACCATTGTTATCAAGAAAGATAACCCACAACCCAATGTTCTTGTTTTTCTTCCTCTTTTTCGGATTAAAAAAAAAAATTAAGTGGAAGGAAAAGAATATATTATTCAATCCTCTATCATTCACTTAACGATTATAATATACAGAAACAATAATGGGTTTTGCTAATTGGGTTGATTCACTACCAAAAATTAAAAAAAAAAAAAAAGGGTAAAACTCTAGCTAAACTTAAGAGCATTATGATGAAATTATTCTTTTATCTTAAGATTACGTGTGTAACAAATTTAAAATTAATACTTATTTTAATTTTAAAAAACAGATTAGGTTATGCGAATATTCAAAATCATATCATTTTGAATTTTGTTATTACTTAATCGAACAATATATTTTAGGTAAGATTTTTATTGTAGCTTAGTTTGAAAAACTATAGAGTTATTAATAAAATTTTACTTGCATTTATTTATTTATTTTTCTTCTTGGATAAATAACTATATATCATGTTTAATGGGTATGGTGTTAAATGAACTTTAGCTTGTAGGAATAAGGAGAAAGGGGGATGCAAGATTTGTCATAGAAGGTAAGAACGAAGGAGGAATATTAGTGGGAAGGTCGAGAGATGAAGAAGACGAAGGATCGCGTGTGGGCTCACAACAAGACAACATTTACCCGCCCACGCCTCCTCCACCTCCTTCAAATGCAAGAAGAAGAAAAGGCATTCCTCACAGGGCACCCTTTGCCTCCTAATCCAATTCATTTTTCTTATTTAATTACATGAAATCCAGCAAATATACCAATTGTTTGAAGTAAAGAAAGAAAGAAAGAAGAAGAAGCCCTACTCTTTTGAAGGGGGGTGCCTTTGTCCTAATCAAAAGAAAGAGTAGGGTATACCCATTGGTTGGGGTGTCCCAATTTTATAGATATTTTTTTTTTTAAAAGAAAAAATTGGGGGGGGGGGGAGAGGAGTAAGTAAGTTTCCTTTTTAGGTTTGGGTCCCATAACAACAATTCTCTATTGTGAATAAGCAATAATGCAGAGAGATTGGCATTTGATATATAGTTTTGCCAAGGTGTACATTATTGTGTAATTAATTATCAACATTATATTTATTATTATTTATACACACACACACACACACATATATATATAGATATTAAATAAAATAAAATAAAAGAATCCGTTTAATTGTTTTCCATAGGTCCACCTACCACATGGGCCGTTTACATAAAGGGAACAACAAGCTTTTCATTTGTTTTATTACTTTGCACATTGTTGTGACGAGGCATTAATTTCATATAATTTACCTAATGGGATTTTATTTTTGTCTTTTTAATATCTTATTGTAGTAATTTGAGAGCTTTAACCCCTTCAATTGAAATTCTTATATATATATATATAAAATAAATCATAAACCTAACTTCCATTACACGTGCCGACCCTTACGATCGAAATCAAAATATTAACTCAAACCGAGTTAATTGGTCATGTGGGTGTTTATTCTTAAGTTTTTTTCAAATTCAATTATCTTATAATTAATGATGATAATGTACGCTTACAATATAATATAATTGAATTAATGAATTTTTGTTTAATTATAAGGAGCTTTTCATGCTTTGGCATCAACCCAAATGAGCTCAAAGAAAAGTAGGTAGGTTATGATATTGATTGATGGGGGTGGGATTTCTTTTAGGAGTTCTTAGAAGATCGACAGGCAGGCAATTACCAAAAACCAGGCTAGTGAACTTTGTCATTCAAAAGTGCTTTTCGATTAAGCAACTTATGTATGTATGCATGTATAGTTTAATTTTTACAGTAAGAAATTCTACAATAGCGTAGAGAGAAGTTGTTTAATAATAATAGAAAATAATGTTACTTGTCCGAATGGTTCAACTCATGAAATTTCATTCCTCGACTCGTCGTTTCGAGCGGAATCCCTACAAATTATGGAGTTTAAAATGGCTTTTTTCTTCTCAACTATAAAAAAATAATAAATAATTTAAGATTTTATTTATTTGTGAATTAAAATTTTAAAGAGAAAAATAATTTCCCTTTGTTAGGAGATATAAATTATGCGTATTATTATAAAATGGTTATTTTCTTTTTTGAAAAATCACATAAATATTTTTTTTTTTTTTTGTCACATACGTGAAAATATGAAACTTCAACGAAATAATCGTAGTCACGTTAGTCTCAAGCTGCCCCGTGAATTTTACACCATAATAATTTAAAAAGATTACAATAAAATCATTGTCTATTAAAATGAATGCCGGAATTTAATTAATTATAATATAAATAAATAATGGGCTTTACTCTTAATCTCAGTCTTAATTTTGCGCTGCCTTTGTTAAAATCATAACGTTGGGCCTCGATCTATGTACCTAAACCTCAACGACGACGTTTCATATGAGATAAATTAAAATAATCTCTCGGCCCATATATTTAGAAAATATTTTTTATCCATTTTACAACAATTATTAGGTTACAAATCAACTGAATCTTGAATGTGAATATATTATTAGAATCTGGAAGAATCTTAATTTAATTATTGGGACAAAGTCAATGATATGCTGTATCAAATGCCAACATCCAGCTGTTGAGCGCGTATACGAACGCTCCACTCTTTACCCCGCGAAGAAAATTATGAATGTGGGATCTCCTCTCTTTAGGCGCGTGGTTACACCACACCTATCTCAATCCGATCCCCAACACATTTACAAATAGAATCTGTGATTGTGGTCGAGACACACCATACAAAAGAAGAAAGCACATCCAAGCCCTGAACAGACCCATCTGAGTCTTCTTTTCTGCGAGCCATGGTGTCCAGATGTATAAGCTTCCATCCCCACCACCACCCTTTTCTGTCTTCTTTACTAATTACTCAAACCTCAAAACCCACATCTTATATTTCCAGTGAAACGCCATTTTCACCCCGTAAAACAAGCTTCAGTTTAACCCAAAACATAGCTCGGTTCAGAACTTGCACCGAAAAGAATTTCACTCCCATGGCGTTGCATCCCGCGTCCAATCAAACCCCAGAATTTGATGAATTCGATTCCGATCCGACGCTCACCAACGATGATCTTAAGCCAACATCTCCCAAAGAAAGGACGCTTTCTTGGTCGGAAATGGCAAGTCTCTGGATCGGTCTTGTTGTGGGTGTACCTTCCTATTATCTCGCCGGCAGTCTCGTGGATCTCGGCATGGCGTGGTGGCAAGGAATCGCCACGGTCGTAGCTGCCAACATGATCTTGTTGATCCCTTTAGTTCTCACGGGTCACCCTGGTACAGCATACGGCATCCCCTTCCCTGTCCTCGCTCGGTCGGCGTTTGGTATTCGCGGCGCCCATATTCCGACTCTTCTCAGAGCTCTCGTCGGTTGCGGCTGGTACGGTATTGAAACTTGGATTGGCGGTGAAGCGATTTATCTTCTCTTACCAAATTCAATAAAAAGTTCATCACTTTCTCAAACTGTTCCGTGGCTTGGCACATCGGTTCTTGAATTTAGCTGCTTTATTCTCTTCTGGGTAGCTCAGTTAACCAGTGTTTGGAAAGGCATGGAAGGAATCAGAGAGCTTGAAAAGTACTCAGCGCCAGTTCTTATGTTACTTACCGGTTGTCTTTTAACTTGGGCGTATGTCAATGCCGGTGGGTTTGGTCATATGCTGACTCTATCTTCCAAGCTTTCGTCTTCCCAATTCTGGTCACTCTTCTTCCCTTCTCTCACCGCTAATATAAGCTTCTGGGCAACTCTGGCGCTCAACATCCCAGATTTCACCCGCTATGCCAGGAGCCAGACCGATCAAATCATCGGCCAGGCCGGTCTTCCAATCTTCATGGGCGTATTTACTTTTGTCGGACTCGCAGTAACCTCATCCACTAAAGTAATTTTCGGCCAAGTGATTTCCAGTCCAATCCAACTTCTGGGTCGAATCGGAGGATTCACAACGACGATTCTCTCCATTTTCGGGATAACTCTTGCAATCATCACAACCAATATTGCAGCTAACGTCGTCGCCCCTGCTAATGCTCTCGTCAATCTAGACCCTTCAAGGTTCACTTTTAGGAAAGGAGCTTTACTAACTGCACTTGTGGGAATTGCTTTTCAGCCATGGAGACTGCTGAAATCCAGCGAGAGCTTCGTCTATACATGGCTAGTTGGCTACTCTGCGTTGCTTGGTCCAATTGGGGGAATAATTTTAGCAGACTACTATCTTGTTCGCCGCACAAAGTTAAGCCTGGTAGATTTATATTCGTCATCTCCCTACGCAGCATATTATTACTCCGGCGGCTATAATCTGGCGGCTGTGGCTGCTTTGATCGTCGGGATACTGCCGGTGATTCCAGGTTTCTTGCAGAAGGTTGGAGTTGTGTCTAAAGTTTCAGATTCATTTGTGGTGATATATAACAATGCCTGGTTTTTCAGCTTCTTCTCCGCTGGCTTTGTCTACTGGGTTTTATCGTGTTTGAGAAAAAAACAGAACAAGTGTACGCCATTGGATCCTCTTTTGCCTTCTTCTGCATAAGTTTTTTAGGCTTCTCCTTGGTTGATCCTCTCAATTAAATCTTGTATAATCGTTCTGTACAGGCTTTCCATAAATACATACATAATTATTCAAGTGATAATAATTTTTTGAACAATTAATTGTAAATTATTAGCGATGTTACAATTAAATACAAAATTATTTTAATTCCAAATTGATTCCTCAACTAAATGATTTATTAAATTATTTTATGTAAATAAATAAATCAGTTATCCATCAATTATATAAAAATATAATTAATATTTTAAAAAAATTTAAATAGGACTTCTAATAATTACCAATATTATTTTAGTAATATTAAAAATATTTTTTAAATATATACTTCAACTATTTTTTTTTTTTTCATAAATATTTATCATTTTTAAATCAATTAGGTATAATATTTCAGAATAATTGCGATGGGTTTAGTTTAAGACGGGCTTTAAATCGTGTTTTAATAGGCTTAAATAAACAAGGTGGACGACCTCTAAATGGGCCTCTTTTTGTTTCACATAACACTTTGACCCACTTCTCAAATTTTAATTTCTCTTTTTAACAAATAGTTTTCTAAATAATTATCTTATTATATGGATACTACAATTTAGATTACTCAACTACGACCTTCACATATGTTTTATTTTTTTTTTAAAAATTTGACATAAAATCATTAGTTTTTTAGGTTTTTTTATATATTTTTTAAAAAATAATCATTATTTATAGTAAAAGTTCAGTATATCTAATCACGGAAGCATAAGCCACATTGACATGAAAATTCAAAAAAGAATGAGCCGATCTCGCGAAGCCTCTCTATTATATTGTCTGCTCGCTCGGTTAATATAGATGTCTAGTCTCAATTTCAAAAGGGTTTTACAGTCCTTAACAATAAATCCAAAATTGAATTTGTTTAAAGATTTATCCTGAAATGTTCTCATCACTTTTTGGGCGTCCAATTTGAAGGTACTCAGTTCTTGTGCATTATGGATGTAACGACCCAGAATTTAAAAAGAAATAAATTATAAATTGAATACGGAAGCGAAATAATAGAGTAAGAGTTTATATTTTTACACAATAATTTAAAATACCTAATATGACTACGGGAATGATCGTTCTAAAAGAACAAATAAAAACTCAAGAAATAAATGAAAAATAAACAATTAGGTATCCTAGGACGACCTTCACTAGCTTTTGAAGGGAGTCTAGGTGACAACACCCTTGTCGATCGGGCTCTGGCTTTTGATCTGAAATAGTTAATGAATGGATGAGCTATACTAGCCTAGTGAGAATATCACACTACTTAGCTATACGAAAACTGAAGATTAGTAAAAATTATAAAAACAACCAATGAAACTCTTAATTTAAGTAAATCAATTTATCATAAATAAAACTATTTATTGCATACTTATCGTTGCAAGATTTTCAAAACTGACCTATAGAGACAATAGCTCAACAACATCATAATCTCATATTCAAATGAGGAAGAACAGTAACGTTTCCTCTTTATTTACTTACTGATATCCCTGAGGCCCATAGGGATGTCCCACTACGCGTGAACCATTACTCAACATTATCAACTAGTCGGTCGTCCCCATACTCCGTCCGGTATTAGCGTCAAGAATATAATTTCTCAATACCCCGTCCAGTATGAGGGTGAAACGGGCTGTCCCCACATCCCGTCCGGTATAAGCGCCAAAAATATCAATACTCAATACCCCGTCCGATATGAGGCGACATTCACGGTAGGATTCCCTATGTACTTAGTCCGTCCACCATATTTCAGAATATCCAATAAGGCTACCATTCATTCATTCACTAAACCAATCAATTTTCTATTTACATTTAATTTTTAATTTCATAATTTAACCTAAATCAATGCAAAACAAATAATACATGCATCAAAGAAATACAACTAAATCATTTTATCAATTCTAGTATATTATCATGCATATAAAATTGTAAAATCAAATAATCGGTTAAACAGGATAAATAATAAATGACTAATCAGTTTCCGGCTCCATTAGTAACCTGTAATTAATTCTCAAAATTTTTTAAATTACACAAACTACCGTATTATTGATAATTGAACTTCAATTCCATAACAGAAAATAAGGTGATGGATTCTTACCCGAATTGGTGTTTGAAACACCAAACTTTCAGCTGCGCTTACTGGTGGTCCCCAAGTTTCCTGAATTTTATCGCGGAGATTAAAACACGTTTCACGTACCTAAAAATACCCCAAAAAATCCAAAATCGGTGTTAAAAATCTTTTCCAGCCAATTTCAGAATTCAGGCATAACGGCATCATCGTGCTCTGGTGACGGTGATTTGCCTCGAACTAGCCGTTTTCAGGCAGTTTTGACTAGTTTTGGCCGGTTTTATACCTATCCCTACAAGAAAACATGTTAGGGGGATTCGGTTGGCCGAAAAAAGTCAAAAATAAAAATTTACCAGTGGTAAAAATTTTCGGTGCAGCAGCTCTGTCTGCTCACCTTCGCGGTTGGGTATTTTTCTTCAGTCAACCTGTAGAAAACAGAATAGTGAACACAATGGTGAAAAATTCACATGAAATAGGAAATGGGAAGGGGCTCATTGGAGACATTTTTGGGTCTTGCCCGCGGCGGTGCTATCGGACTTTTCCCACGGTTTCCCGCTTATCCGCCGTCTTTTTGGTCAAATTTGGCCATGGGGGTGCTCGGAATCAAATTTTGAGTGAATAGGAGAGTTTTTATCTTTCTTGGCAGTCGGAGGCGGCAGGAGGTAGTCGGTTCCCTTATTCGGCGACTGGTTCTTCTTCTTTGGCGACTGGTTCTTCTTTTCCAATAAGAGGCTGGCGGTTAGAGTTTGGGTTCGGTGTGATGCGAAATATTTATACCTGTCTCTCTTAAATTTAGACTGCTCATCGTATTTGATCTCGACCATTCGATCGTGTTTAAAGAGAAAATTAATCTGGACCGTTTATCGCAATTTAATCTCGATCGTACGATCGTTTTAAAGAGAGAACAAATCTGAACCGTTCATTACGTTTAATCTTGACTATTCGATCACACCTGAGGAGTGAACGGATCCGGACCGTCCATGCACATGGGAACGCATCCGGGCCGTCCGATTGTAGGCACACAGATTGCTAGTGTGGTTTTTTGTGTGGTACCGAGTCAGCGTGCCTTGCCACGATGCGCGTTATAGTTCATCGGAGCTACTGAGTGGGCGGTCCTACGTGGCACAATTTTTTTTAATTATGTTTTGATCCCCATTTCTAATTTTTCTTTCAAAAATACCATTCGAACCCCTATAATCACCCATTATTTCTAAAATTATTTTCAATTTCATCATCAACCTATTTTTTTTTCCTAATTTTACATTAAATAAAATTTATAAATTTAAAAATTATATTTTTATACATTTTTTTAAACTTTAAAATTAATCCAATGCTAAATTTCGAACCTGGGTATTACGACTTTTCCCCCTTAAAAGAAATTTGGTCCCTCAAATTTATTTTTCTCTCACTCAATCAAACAGTTGGGGATACTAGGTTCTAAAATCTGATTCTAGTTCCCATGTGGTCTCTCTTTGTGTGTGATTCAATTGTGGAGTAATATGTTTTTTTAGTCCACAATACCCACCGATTCCTCCTCATAGGACAGATTCTCCTTGAGTGAAAGTGACTCGTGAGCCAAGATGTGAGCGGGGTCCGGGTTATACTTGTATAACATAGAAACATGAAACACATTATGGACCCTGGATAGTTCTGGAGGTAGTGCCAGTCTGTAGGCAGCGGTACCAATTCTATCTAAGA